CATGCCTCAAACATCTCCTTGTACGTCCCATCGATTTTTCACAGCTCAGTCACGTACACTTCCCTCTCCTTCTTGTAGCACGGACATTCCGCGACTACATGAACACGGTCTTCGCATTCGAAGCCGCAATCACATTTGAACTCGTCGTCTTCGTCGTCTACAGTCCTATGTTTTCGTCGACGTTCCCGAAGGCCTATGTCCTCGGTCCTGAATTTGGCCTTAAGCTTTGTCCCTGCATCCATTGGTTCATGTTGGTAATACTTGAACCCCATTCCTTCCTTCAACATTCCGTACACTTCTAGACCCTCCTTATCCTTGGATTCTTTCCTCAGATTCTGTTCTTCTCTCTCGGCACAAGCAACAGATATCTTCTCCTTGAACCCCTGTAGACCCTCCGTTTCCAGCGTTTCATCTTCGTCGATGTCGAGCCCCTTCCATACGTCCTCTACAACCTTGACCCATTCCGTGGGTTGTCTACCCCTCTTTTTGTTTGCCCACTTCGCCTCCCATACAATTCTCGGCAACCTCTCCTCTCCCATCCCGCACATGCGATACTGCCAGGTCAGCTTCCTCGCGTCTCTTCCCGACCGTAGGGATTGGATCCCCAATTCTGCCCTCACGGCTGCATTACTTGTGCGCCTGGAGCATCCTAGGATGGTTTTCGCTGCTTTCATCTGCGCCGCCTCGAGTTCTTTCACTACCTTCTTATTTCCTTCCCATACTTCTCCGGCGTACTCTAGCGGCGGTACGATTACGCTCTTCAAAACCGTCAATTTGATGCGTGTATCATGGTGCCGGTTTACGAGCATTGGGTGCAGCTTCCCTGCTCGTGCTTTGCCCTTTTCCGCTACCTTGGACACGTGTGCATTCCACGAGCAGTATTTTGCGATCTCTACTCCGACGTATGTGTAATGGTCCACTACTTCAATCTCCTCGATCCCCCACTTCCGTCTTTTTTTTTTTTTCCTCCCAACATTGGACTCTGTCGTCTGCCCCTCTGGCCCCTATCCTCCACTTCTACTAGCTAGACGACCCAACCGGGGTCACATAAGAGGCGGGGGCTGGACCCCCTCGTGCGGTTCCTGCCTGAGGTATTTTTATCGCGAGAAGGGTACTGCAATCGCTTCCCTCGCGACTTACGAAATCGATTATGGTTTACTAACAACGAGCCTTGCAACGCGTTGCTTTCATTCTAGACCAGGATTTATTTAGTGAGAAAAATACTCACTCTGCCGGGACTCGAACCCATGACCTGGCCCTTAGCAGGCTGCGAGGTTACCCACTAGACCACCGGGGCGACCGGTCTCCGCCAATGTTCTACTGGTTCCTCCTTGTTCTCGTTGCATATCATGACGGCACTCT